GTTTTGCCACTTTTTAAAAATTGTTCACTTTAGATAAAAACGTATTTTTAATTCTGAAAACAGTTTTTTTAGTCTCAAGCGATATTTACTAGCACATATTTTAAAAACTATTTGAGGTTCAATAATCATTGCAAATGTTTAAACATATTTAAAAATCGTCTTAAAATGCGTTGAAAAATAAATTCACACCAATTTAACTTATCAGAGATTGTTTTCATAACTCTCAAAACTCCCAACTTCATTCTAATAACGCTTAATAAATTACCTCCGTTAACTTCATTATTTATAATCCTTGTTCACAAATGCAACCAAATCCATAAACCAATCGCCTAAATCAATCAGGCTCATGAAACTGCGAAAATTTAAGCTACAATTTAACTCTATTAGCAACATTGAAAGTGTGTAAACTTTGACAATTTTTCCAGTTTCGTTTRGAAGCTATTTATGTAAAATTCGCTCTCAAGTTGCAGGAAATCGCAGATTTCCCAACCATTTCTCACCTCTGTCATTTTTACGGTCGACATTAACGACAAGCAGCAAAATACCATCACATAGTCACATTACAGTTGTCAACAAAGTCGAGTAACTGCTTGCGTGTGTGGTCCGCGAAGAAAATAATAACATCTCGATGAATTATTTGTGCTGTTTTGAGCCTCAAAGAGACACAAATAAATTTTGTAAATTTATATTTTACGGTTGTTAGCAGTAACGCAACATATGTTTATGGACCCCGAGACGAGAAAAAATGTTTTTTTTTTAAATATATATCCAGGAACGAGCTAGAATGTATTAATACCGTTTTATGAACGACGAATAAATGTCAGCTAAAGAAATACTGCTATTTACACAAATACATCGAGAAACGAGGTAAATTACTGTAAATAATATAAAAAGTTTTGTGGGGGGTGTTCTAAATAAAACAAGGAAACTTCAAACAACATTTATAGCGGTTTGGAAATGAGTGAAAAATGCTTTTCTTCAATAAAAAAGGCGTGATTATTTTTAATAAAGGTGCTTTTAAATCGCTTGTAATTGTAAGAAAACACACATAATMACTTGATTKATGCCGTTCGTGAGGTTGTTTTRAAATAATTTACTAACTTTAAGTGTTTTCATAAATTTCTTGACCAATCAAAACTTTTCAAAGCTTTGTCYGCTTACTGTTACATGAAAATAGTAGGTACTAAATAAAAAATTACTAACGTGTTATTTTGTGTTATTATATTTCCACATTTTGGTTAAAGTTAATTAATAAATAATGCATGGAAAACATCACAAGACGTTTCAAAAAATCACGWTTTTTTTAACTCGATCCAACAACCTTTTAAGCCCTGTTCTCTAGTGGAAAATTTTTTCTTTAATTTATTTCTCTAATATATTCGTATTCATTTTTTTTAATTCTACTTTTTGTGTTCAAAGTTTTCAATTTTTGATAAAATTTTAGTCGATTTTCGGCACCTCGAGCGGACTTGCCAAAATCTTCGGGATTATTAGTGCCAGCCTCATGTGTTTGACATCGTTGGAAATAAAATTTAATTTTCTATAATATACAAAAAAGATCAATGTTCTACGATAAATAGTTATTGAGAAAATTGRTGATAAAGTCAAAAATATCCAAAATACAAATTCGACTATATACAGTGTGCGCCAGAACTCGCGAAAAAAAAACACCAAAAAACATAAAATAATATTATTTCCTCAGAACAGGGAATAAAGTGACACTTTATTTCTTCGTTTTTGACTGATAATTTGGTATACATTAAACTTTACGCATGTAAAGTGTCCCAGGGAATCAATTAGTGTTAAGAAAACCGCAAAATTTTTAATTATTTAGAAGTTATAGTAAAGATTTTGATTATTTTAGCGATTTTCTCAATAAACATTTATTGTCTTTTTTTTTAAAAGATAGGAAATTTAAAGTGATTTCTAACAATAACAAACACAAAAGGGCTATCAATAACAGTTTTGAAGTTATTAGATGTTATAAACTCCGGGTAGAAATTGACCAAATTTAGACTAAAATCGAAAAATTGAACACTTCGAAATTGATACAGATGCACTTAAAAGTTTAAAAGACTCTGAAAATTACATACAACGTTGTAAAACGCGAGAAATAAGTTTTTGAAAATTTTTATACAGGGTGCGCCAGAACTCGCGGCCCATGTAAGGTATGATACCAGGAACATTAAAGAAATGTTAAAAAATTTCTGTCTATAAAAATTTCAAAGTTATGAGAGTTTAAATTTTGGATTTTAACTTTTTATTTCTGTTGGAAAAATAATTTTCCAAGTTTTTTTTGCTACAGGCTATAAGCATTAGGTATTAAGCATCATTATTAAGAAAAATCTTGTAAAAAAAATGATATTTTGAGTAGAAAATATAGCCCGATTTTGCAAAAACGAGTTTTAAAGTTTCAAGCTTTTGGTCCAAAAAAAATGTTATGTTTAGGAAGCTTGAAAAAAAGCAAGCTAAAATAATGTAATTTCCGTTGATTCTTTGGTGAATTTTTGACACTATTTTGTAAAACAAGTTTATTTATACAAAACCAATCACTTAAACAAAATGAGATAAAGTGGAAAAAAATTTAATAAAGAAAATAATAACCAATAATAAAAAATATGAAAATAGTTAAAAAAAAAAAAATTTGAGAAAAATGTAGACCGTTTTTGCAAAACGTGGTTCAACGTTTATAAAAATCAACAGTTTTTATTTTTTGACAAATATGTTTTTTACAAAGAAGTTATATGTTATATGTTATACGTGGCTTTCATAGTCAAAATTTTTGTACTTTTACTAAATAATTATAAAAAACATATACAAGATCATAAGTTTCATTAAATAGACATAAAAAATGTCAAACGTCAAAAAATAAATAAAATATTTTTTGCAAGATAGAATTTTTGAAACGTTCTTGGTATCTTATACAAAGTGGTTATAAATGATTTTCATCTAGCCAGCTATAGATTTTTTTTGCATGTAACTTTATTCGTGTCGCTCTACTTTTTTGAAAGCTCTAGTTCTGTCATTAGTGTCACTTATTAATTAATAATAAATTGTTGTTAATTAAACTTTTATTGTTTCAATTAATTTCCAATAATAATTGATAATAATGTATACTTTGGAAGAAAAACAAGGTTATAATTGAAGTCTATTTTCGAAGTGGACGATTAGTAAACGGCGATTTTTTTAATTTTGAGTTAAAACAAGTAGGTACCCTTATTTTCGTAAAGCGGCATTTTTTATTTTACATGAAAAATTTATAGCTGGCTAGATGAAAATCATTTATAACCACTTTGTATTACTTAAAATTTTTCCCTGGGGCGCGAGTTCTGACACAGCCTGTATATACATCAAAATATTATATCTTTGAGGTACAGTTTTGCCACAATTTACAAAACAAAAAAGTGTTCAATTTTGTTTTCAATTTTCGTCAAAACTTCGAAACAATTATTAATATTTTTTTGTAAAGTAAAGTTAGCAAAATATTTCCTTAACATTTTTTTAAACATTTGAAATAAAAAATCTGCAAGTATCTATACATCCGTTGGATTAATCATCGCACGCCAATAAACCCGCATCCTCGAAGTCATCTTTTTATCGTCAATAAACCTCTCAGCGTTTATTTATGGCAGTTGTAATATTCGCTGGAGGCGTGTCCCCACGCATCACGTGACCCAACCAGCGAATAAAACCCGCGCGATGTGTTTCATGGGCGTTCCCCAAACACCCACCCCCCACTTCCAACATTTTGCGACAACTCGCATAAATCGCTCGCTAGACCACCCGCATCGTCTCTCATTCGATTGGCCCATCACGAAAATAGAAAACATTCGACAGTCYAAGCAATAAAGAAGATCCACATAAATAAGTAAATAGTAATGTTCTAGAAAATCGAGTGTTTATTTGTGAATGTGTGTGAACATTAAACGTTACACAAACACGGTCGCCGTGGCACAAAGCTGGCTGTGTCGCGTTTTACGAGCCGCCGTGTATACAAAAGCCAGCGGCGGAACACGACGAGGGTATCATCCATTGAAGTGACAGTCATTATGTTATTACAGGCGCGTTACATTTGATCTACGGACCGAATTATTACGATTCTTCGAAATAGAGACGGCCGTTTTTATCTGGTTGAACCAGAAACAACAAACATCGACAGCTTTAAACATCATTACGGTGCTACCACATGGAGTTTATGTCTCACGGCGCTTTGAATGCGAGATGCGGTCCGCCAGGACAAAACGTAAATCATCACTTTACAAACAAACTTTGACACCGACTACTGGTTAGAGATCATTTCAACAACTACACATTAAAAACCGACTCACAAGGCCAATCAAACTAAATCAATTTTCATCTTTTSATAGAAATTATCAGATAAAACTAGCAATTTGGTCAAAAAAAAATTTTTTGGAGACCTTGTGGGGTCTCGCGGCATTGCCGCTCGCTCCCACACATTTCTACATTTTTTTTTTGTTTCCGATGTGTTATTTATTCATAATTTATATCAAAAATACTCTAATTTTAAAACAACAACTCTTTTTAATAAAATTTACTAAATGTGAAATTAGGTAAATTTAATAGATAGTAAACAAAAAAATTGTTTTTTGACGGGCATATTGACAAAATTTATATTGATTTATAAAAAAAGTTTTCTTTTGTGAGAAATTTCGCAACTTTAATAAATAACACAATTTATTTGGCGGTTTTTATTAGATGTACAGGTGTCCTGTAAAAACGTTAAAATATCTCGGAGAGTTTGACTTTTTTAAGTCAATTAATAGAAAAAAATCAATAAACCTGAAATGCTTCCTAAGCAAATCGAAACCTTCGAAAAATGACCAAAAAGTTTTTTTTTTAATTTTTACAAGTAACCGTTTAAAATAATAAAACAATTGATCCATATACCGTTTTTTACATTTCTAGAGGTATTAAAGACTTAAAAAAGTGCATAAAACGTTTTTGGATTAAGTTTAAACAATTGCGAATTCTTTGACACCGACTACTGGTTAGAGATCATTTCAACAACGACACATTAAACACTGGCTCACAAGGCCAATCAAACTAAATCAATTTTCATCTTTTGATAGAAATTATCAGATAAAACTTGCAATTTGGTCATAAAAAATTTGGAGAAATTGTGGGGTCTCGCGGCATTGCCGCTCGCTCACACACATTTCTTCATTTCTACTTTTTTTTTGTTCCCGGTGTGTTATTTATTCATAATTTATATCAAAAATACTCTAATTTTAAAACAACTCTTTTTAATAAAATTTACTAAATGTGAAATTAGGTAAATTTGATAGTAAAAATATTCAAACAAAAAAAATGTTTTTTGACGGATATATTGACAAAATTTATATTGATTTATAAAAAAAAAGTTTTCTTTTGTAGCAATTGGTCAAAAAAAAGTTTTGGAGAAAGTGTGGGGCGTCGCGGCATTGCCGCTCGCTCCCACACATTTCTTCATTTCTACATTTGTTCTGTTCCCGATGTGTTAATTATTTATAATTTATATCAAAAATACTCTAATTTTAAAACAACAAGTCTTTTTATTAAAATTTATTAAATTAATGTGAAATTAGGTAAATTTGATAGATAGTAAAAAAATATTCAAACCAAAAAATTGTTTTTTGACGGATGTATTGACAAAATTTATATTGATTTATAAAAAAAAGTTTCCTTTTGTGAGAAATTACGCAACTTTAATAAATCACACAAATTATTTGGCGGTTTTTATTAGATGTACAGGTGTCCTGAAAAAACGTTAAAACATCTCGGAGAGTGATTTTTTTAAATCAATTTAATAGAAAGAAATCAATAAACCTGAAATGCTTCCTAAGCAAATCAAAACCATCGAAAAATGACCAAAAAGACTTTTTTTATTATTACAAGTAACCGTTTAAAATAATAAAACAATTGATCCATCTACCGTTTTTTACATTTCTAGAGGTATTAAAGACTTAAAAAAGTGCATAAAACGTTATTTGGATTAAGTTTAAACAATTGCGAATTTTTTGACTCCGACTACTGACATTAAACACCGACTCACAAGGCCAATCAAACTAAATCAATTTTCATCTTTTGATAGAAATTTAGTCAATGCTAAAGACTCAAAAAAAGTGCCAAAAAAAGTTACTTTTCTTCAGTAACATGTTATTGGGTCAAGTTTAACAAATTTTAAGCCAGAAATCATTCTAAATCAATGTATTTTTAAAAAAATAAATGATTTAATCAAAGTTGTCTGCAAGTCAACCTTTTAAGTCTCAAAATTTTTGTTTTTTAAACGTTTTTCAAAAGTTTCTAGTTCTTTTTAAACCGAGATAATATATTATTTTTTCGTCAAAATTTTTCTAAAATAAAAAGAGGGCTGCCAACTCTGAAATTACTTGCTCAAATTTTTAGAATGTAATCGAAATTGATTGGAATTATTTAAATTATCTTTTGAATTGTTTGGAATTACCTATTGGGATTAATTGTGAATTATCAGAGATAATTTCTTTTGAAAATTACGTTGGATCTCTGTTGGAATTAATTTGAAATTACAGGAATTATTGTGGATTTATAATAATTAATTTTGATAAATTTTTTTTGGAATTTCGGTGAAATTTTTATGGAATCGCTAAAATTTCGATAAAATGTTTCAATTTTGTAATCTATTTTTGTTGTGGGTAATTAAAAGTTTGTGTAAAATAAATGACACAATTTCGATTTTAGTTTTATTTAGGCAAATTTACATACACTTCAGTCATTACAGATTAAATCGAACAATTTCCTCCAGACATACTCTATAAAAATACTCCATTTGCATATAAATTATAATGCGAGCACGTAACATAAGTTATTTGAGTGTCAAAGAAAAAAAATAATCAATAAGTCTTTGGGAAGACTAGTTAAAAAATGCRAAAAACGGAATGTAACCACAAAATTAAGCCAAAGGATTCCTCTTCATCAGTTCAATATCCGCCTCCATCATATCCTTGACCAAATCCGGGAACGACACTTTCGGTGRCCAATTAAACTTCCTCCTCGCTTTGGAGGAATCCCCCAATAACAAATCCTGAAATCCCCAATCAMGGTTTCCACCTTCAACTTCCCAACCAACTTACCACTTCCGTCGGCCGGAAATACCTAGGATTGACCTTAACCCGGACTATTCCGGTGTCCTTCTCCTTCCCAACCTCATCGACTCCACTCCCCTCCCACACGATCTCCTTCCCCACATGTCTGAAAGCCGCAAGGACAAACTCTCGCACACTGTGCATCTCCCCGGAAGCTATGACAAAATCGTCCGGTTCTGACTCCTGCAACATGAGCCACATTGCCTCCACGTAGTCCTTCGCGTGCCCCCAGTCTCGCTTCGAGTCCAAATTGCCCAACTCGAGACARTGCGAGAGSCCTAAGTGGATTTTGGCCACCTCTCGGGTGATTTTCCGGGTGACGAAAGTCTCCCCACGGCGGGGGCTCTCATGGTTGAAYAGAATACCATTACAAGCAAACATACCATAGGCCTCGCGGTAGTTCACCACGATCCAATAAGCGTAAAGCTTCGCACAAGCTGATTTAAAAAAATTYAAATTAAATACTCGCCATCGGCTCGCGTATTAAAAAAAAACTGTTACCGTAAGGAGACCTGGGATAAAACGGCGTTTTTTCACTCTGGGGAATCTCGGCGACTTTTCCGTACAATTCCGACGTGGAAGCTTGATAAAACTTGACTTTTTTCTCCAAACCACAAGTCCTAATGGCGTCCAAAAGGCGCAAAGTCCCCACAGCGTCCACCTCAGCTGTGTACTCGCTCAAATCGAAAGACACTTTAACGTGACTCTGAGCCGCCAAATTGTAAATTTCGACCGGTTTTATCTTGTTTATGAGTTTCACGAGCGAACTGGAGTCAGTCATGTCGCCATAATGTAAATGCATTTTTCCGCCCTTGTGCTCGTAAATATTCGTGTGCAAATGATCGATTCTGCCGGTGTTGAAACTGCTTGATCGCCGGATTATTCCGTGAACTTCATATCCTTTCCCTAGGAGCAGTTCGGCCAAATAGGAACCATCCTGAAATTTAAATTTCGCGCGTGAGGTCGGTAAAGCAGCTCACTGTAGTGGCATTTGACACGTAAACAAACCGGTTTTCGGAAAATTAACAATTTTGAAGGAAAAACACAAAGTAGACTTGAATTAAACTAAGACTACCAACTAAATGAGGAATTTTACTTTACCTGACCCGTAATTCCGGTCAGGAGAGCCACTTTGCGTTCGTCACCACTTGCCATTCTGACACGTCTCTTGTCACACAAAGGTGTGATTTATTACCGCAATTAGTGTTTAAACTCGCAGTTTAACTAGATCAAGAGATAAACCCACAATTGAGATTATTTCGGATTTGACCGATTACAGGTTCCTGTAATGATTTGACAGCAACAGGCATTTATTGGCGATGGTTTCGGTCGCCACCACCGGTATTCTTCATCAAGTTTATTTAACCATCGTTCATATTGACCCACCCAAAATGTTATTCCGTGTTATTTCACGAAATCGTTAGATTTGTAACAATCTTCCAATTAATTATACACGTGTGCAAACACAATTTTAGAAGGAACGGTCAGACGCGAGAAAACTCCCATCACTATGACAGCTGTCATGTTGACAAGTGAATAAAAACGTTTTTTAGCTTTCTAATTTGTCGAAAAAAGTCGCGATGCGTGAAATTTTGGCCTTTTTGTGCATTATTTCCTGTTGCGTGTTTGTATCACAGGTGATTATCCCCAAATTTTGATTTTGAAATTGAGTCTGATTTTGCCCCCAGGCCCAGTCCTACGACGATAAAAGGTGCAAATGCATCTGTCCTAGTATTTCTTCAGTGACAAACAGCACCGAAACGTCCCACATGGCGCGTATCATGTACATCACAAATGTGCCCCCTAAGAAATGGTAAAAAAAGAATCCCATTTTCGGTTTAAAATAATCGTTTTTAGTAACTGTGATGGGGTTATTTTGCCGCGAATTGGTAGAGAATTGCAAGGCAAAGAGCAGGAATTCTGTCCCCGCTGTGAGTGCAAATACGAGAACAGAAACACTGGAATAATAAAAGTGGTGGTGATTATTGTCATTTGGGTGATTTCGATTTTGGTTATCTACATGGCGTTTTTGATCATTTTGGATCCTTTGCTGAATAAAAGAATTAAAGGCAGTTATCAGGAGCACACAAATGAGGATGTTTGTATTTTTGGGCACAGTGGGGGGAAATTTTGATTGTTATTTGCAGGATGAAGCCAGTTCTGCTGGTCCCATGTATCATAATATGAGTCTTAGAGGGAATGTCCTCAACAGAGTGGGGCACCAGCAGGATAAATGGAAGAAACAAGTGAAGGAACAGAGGCGGAACATCTACGATAGACACACTATGTTAAATTAAAAATTATATTTAGTTCTTCCAATCCGTTGTTGAATGATTTTGTTTACAATATTTGAGTGTTTAGTGAGTAAACTGTTTTGTGTAAATCATTTTTTTATTTTTTGTTTGTACATACCTTTATCTTATGATTCTTGAGTCTCATAAATCCAAACTAGTATTTTCTGTATACTTTTGTGATAATTATATTGTCTAAGAAATGTCGTTTTTGTTTTTTTCCTTCCTGATTATTTATTTCTTCACACTAAACATATTTTCAAGCCATATTTTTATCTTATGGAATTAAATCTGCAATTTAACATTTAATTGGTTGGAAAAAAGATAGGAATTAATCTCAATGTTTTATTGGCTGTTTTCAAAACTCTGCAATTTTTGATTGGTTCAAAAAAAACAATCATTAATCTCAACGTTTTATTGGTTGTCTTTAAAATTCGGTAATTCTATTTGTCATTTGATTGGTTAAAAAACTACATGATCTCAACGTTTATTGGTTCTTTTCATAACTTGGTTTTTTCAGTTTGCCATTTATGTTATAAAAAAATCAATTATCAAAATTCTCAATTACCCACTAACAAAAATGTTGAAATTAATAATTTCTTCCAATTACCTGAGGGGTGAACAAAATACAAAACTACAGAAAACTGTGATTTTTTAGTATTTTCAATCAACTTTATATAAAATTATGTATTACTGATTGAATTCTACATGCATAGGCTTTGTGAAATTGTATAAAATACTCTGTATAAGTGTCTGGTAAATTTAGTATCAAGAATTTTGCGTAAAGATGTATAATTGGTTGCATAAGTGGAAACTTAAGACTGTTTTCAGTTTTTTGTCATTGTTTTTTACTTTATTGTGTTTTCATCAACAATTTTACAAAACAATAAAAAAAGGAACACTTGTCGATGAAAATGTATTATTTTTTTAATATTTTGTACAGTTGGAAACAAAATACTTTGGTCGTCAATGTCAAATTCAAACTAGTATTTTCTGTATACTTTTGTGATAATTAAATTGTCTAAGAAATGTCGTTTTTGTTTTTTCCTTCCTGATTATTCATTTCCTCACATTATACAAATTTTCAAGCCGTGTTTTTATTTTATGGACTTAAATCTAATATTTAATATTTAATTGGTTGAAAAAATAATTAGAAATTAATCTCAACGTTTTATTGGTTGTATTCAAAATTCTATTTGCCATTTGATTGGTTAAAACAATACTTGATCTCAACGTTGATTGGCTCTTTTCATAACTTCGTTTTTTCTGTTTACCATTTGTGTGTATTAACCATTTACATAATAGGTTAGTATTAAAAATTTTGTGCAAGGGTGTATAATTGGTTGTATAATTGCAATCTTAAGACAATTTCAGTTTTTTGTCATTATTTTTCACATAGTTTTTGCTTTATTGTGGTTTCATCAACACTTTTACAAAACAATAAAAAAGGGAACACTTGTCGAAGAAAATTGATTATTTTTTAATATTTTGTACAATTGGAAACAAAATACTTTGGTCGTCAATGTCACTTAAGTGACATTAAATTATAAAACATGACTTAGGACTGTTAACCTTATTTTTAGCTACTGTCAATTATAGTTGACAAGTTGTACATATTTTTGATAGGAAAATATAATAGCTGTCATTAATTTGAAACTGTCATTCATTTTAACGTTAAAGCTTGAATTACATTAAAGTATTAGAAAAGTGACGACCAAAGTATTTTGTCTCCAACTGTACCAATCAAAAATAACCTCAATTGCGTTGTTATAAAGTCATTTCTAGACACTTTATTACTCCTCAAAAAAGATATTGGTACCTTTGGAATCTTATCAATTTGTTTATCTCCAAAATTATCTTTCTTATAAGTCAAAATCGGGAGCAAATTTTTGCAAAAGATTACTCAATGCATGTGAATTTAGATAACCTGTAGCATTTCAAGTAGTATTCATTTTTGGTCTCTGCCCTCTTCTTAATCTATGATCGGACTGATAAAAGTCCACCATAGAGTCCCATTACCCAATTTTCCTATAAAATTCATTCTCTCAAATGAAAAAATCCTTCCATAAATAGATTGTTCACTCTTTAAGATAACCCAAAGACCTTACTGCACTTTTAGTACAAGTGAAAGGATTCCCGTGATACACTTATCAAACTTATGACTAAGCATTTTTTCTTTAAAACTTTGCCACCCAATGACCATAAAAGCAGCTTTGCAACTAATTTGTCCATTTAATAAACCCATCAGCCTCGTTATTTATTCATTCCATCAATAGCGCCTCGTTAATAACCCATTTACTTAACAAGTTAGCACTTTTGAACCCATTACGTAACAACTCTCCCAATTCAAATTTCCCCGCTTGCAAATCACGTGCAATTCCCCTCAGAGGTCGCTCAAGTGTCGTCTTCTGATTGGTCGAACGTGACTTTGACGTCATCGTGTCGAATATCAAGGCTCGTACTGTCAAAACTGCCTCTTTCGTTCCCGAGAAACCATCGAGTGTTAACGTGTACGAGTGTAAACCTTCAAAATGCCCACCGATCCCATGAGTTTTGCCAAGGATTTCCTCGCCGGGGGGATCTCAGCGGCGGTCTCCAAGACAGCGGTCGCCCCCATCGAACGCGTCAAACTCCTCTTGCAAGTCCAAGCCGCTAGCAAGCAAATCGCCGCCGACAAACAGTATAAAGGTGAGTTCGCCATTTTTAATAGGGCTAGGGCCCAAATTCCGGGATTGGGGGCAAACGCGTGCCGCCACCGACGATCGATAACCCAATTCCGGGTACCCGGAAAGGTGGTTACGTAATCGGGCGGTGCAGTGGCGGCGGCGAACACGTGGTAACCCTGAGTGACGTCATCGTCATGAAAATGCCAAGATGGTGGCGATTCCAGGGAAGTTGCGATTTACTTTGCTACGGTTACTATGGGAATTATGAATGGGAAAAGGACAGTTTCATGCCGATTGGCCGTGCGAGCGAGCGAGACAGACTCAGGGATTTCACATAGGGATATAGTGGAATTAGAATAGCCCACTGCGATAATAAATTATCGGACTTCTTTAAGCATTAACTTGTCCAATATAATTATCACAATTACAAGCACATTGACGGCAATAAACCATAATTTAGGTAATCATTACGTATTTCAATGTCGAATGATAAAAAATGTAGAAAACTGCAAATCTGAAAATGTCACTTAATCCTAAGAAATACTTGTCAAACCAAAGTTTCCTATTTCATTAGCATTACGAATGACATACATCATTTTTTATGTTAGTCTTGAACACCTATGAGTGATTTTATTTCTTTAAAACAGTTATTCAAAGAGGGTTTATATTTCGCAAGTTATAGGGATTAGTCAACTTGACAAAAAGTGGTGACAGCTTGATTTTGTTCCAAAAAATGCTTGTCAAACCAAAGTTTCCTATTTCATTAGCATTACGAATGATATACATAATTTTTTATGTTAGTCTTTGAACCTCAGAGTGATTTTATTGCTTTAAAACAGTTCTTGTCCTAGTGTCAGGGGGTTTTTATTTCGCAAGTTAGAGGGATTTTATCACAGCCAACTTGACAAATAGTGATTTTGTTCGTTTAGGGATCATCGATTGCCTGGTGCGCATCCCCAAAGAGCAGGGTTTCATCAGTTTCTGGCGTGGTAACCTCGCCAACGTCATCCGTTATTTCCCTACTCAGGCATTGAACTTCGCCTTCAAGGATGTCTACAAACAGATGTTTTTGGGTGGTGTTGACAAGCACACCCAATTCTGGAGGTATTTCGCCGGTAATCTAGCATCAGGTGGTGCTGCAGGTGCAACATCTTTGTGCTTTGTATATCCTCTGGATTATGCTCGTACTCGGTAGGTTTTACTGAGTTTGTTGTTTTTTTTTATGTTGATTTTGTGATATAGTTTGGGAGCTGATGTTGGAAAGGGCAAGGGCGAAAGGCAGTACACCGGCCTTTTGGACTGTATTAAGAAAACAGTGAAATCCGATGGAATAATCGGTTTGTATAGAGGTTTCTTCGTGTCAGTGCAAGGTATCATCATCTACCGTGCCTCCTACTTCGGCTTCTTTGATACTGCCAAGGGAATGTTGCCCGATCCCAAGAACACGCCCTTCCTCATCTCATTCCTCATCGCACAGGTAATAATCATGATTGGTGTTTTTAGGGCAAAGAATCATAAATCTAACCCTTTGTGTTATTTCCAGTTGCTGAAGCTGAAAAAGTGAAAGCAATGTTCCTGAAGACTTATATCCTGAATACTAAGGTATCCCCAACACCCTTGAACCAAGTGTCGTAACATTCCTCTCTTATCTCCAGTCTCCAATTGTGATAATTTTTATCATTATCACAATTAACCTTTGTGTAATTGAGTAACTCGATTCTTTGCAACCATAAACAATTTTACACATGATGTTTTTTTACATAACTGAGCCTATTTTGATGACTCTAGTTTACCACTACCCATTAACTGATGTCATTGATAAATTCTCATGTTGATGATGTTGTAATGAATGAGTGTTGATGATGTTTTCGTTTCAAGTGCGTAACGACAGTCTCTGGGATTACGTCATATCCATTCGACACTGTCAGACGACGTATGATGATGCAGTCTGGCCGTGCTAAAGCTGATATTATGTACAAGAATACACTGGATTGTTGGGTCAAGATCGGCAAAACTGAAGGTCCAAGTGCCTTCTTCAAGGGAGCATTCTCTAACATCCTGCGCGGTACTGGCGGAGCTTTGGTTCTTGTATTATACGACGAGCTTAAAGCTGTGCTTTAAACAACAATAGTAGAATTATTACGGTTTAAATTATTAATTGTCTCATAATTTATTTGTTTCATTCCGTGGTTGATGCATTTGTTTAGGCCGACATTCCTCTTTTTTTAGACTTTTTAACATTTATCAGGCATTCCGCGTGAACAATTTCTTTTGTTATGCCAATTGTAAGCTGAAGTATTGATAGCCCTGTATTTTAACAACCCTGTATATTTTAACAGCCGTTTACCAATAAACAGTTGTGATAAGTTACTTTATTATTGTTTTTTTTTCGTTATTGTTGGTAGTATGGAACGTAATAAAGTTGTTAATATAGTTGAGGTCACGTGTTTTTATTCAGTTAAGCATTTCGTTGACCATAATTCACAAAGTGTAAAAAAGTTGTAAATGAAAGTTCGGCAATAAAGACAGTCGTAATCACTCGAGTTTTTGTAAGTGCAAACCCAAGACCAACTGTCATTTTTTGGTCAAACAAAAAAATTATTGGCCCTAGTTTGTGTATTTTTTTGATAAAAAGTTCCCATTTTAGCGTTAGAAGCACAAACTTGGCCATTTTCTTTAATTCATTTAAGGGTTTTCCTATTTGGTAACCAAACTGTTAACTGTTGAGGTCACGTGTTTTTATTCAGTTAAACATTTCGTTAACCACAATTCACAAAAAGTTGTAAATAAAAGCTTGATTTGTGTAAATTCGGCAATAAAGACAGTCGTAATCACTCGAGTTTTTGTAAGTGCAAACCCATGACCAAGTTTTTTTGTTTGGTCAAACAAAAAAATTATTGGCCCTAGTTTGTGTATTTTTTTGATAAAAAGTTCCCATTTTAGCGTTAGAAGCACAAACTTGGCCATTTTCTTTAATTCATTTAAGGGTTTTCCTATTTGGTAACCAAACTGTTAACTGTTGAGGTCACGTGTTTTTATTCAGTTAAACATTTCGTTAACCACAATTCACAAAAAGTTGTAAATAAAAGCTTGATTTGTGTAAATTCGGCAATAAAGACAGTCGTAATCACTCGAGTTTTTGTAAGTGCAAACCCATGACCAAGTTTTTTTGTGCAATTTTTTAAATTTATTTAGGGATTTTCGTGTTGAAGTAACCGGTCGGGTGGTACCTGTCATTTTTTGGTCAAACAAAAAAATAATTGGCCCTAGTTTGTGTATTTTTTTGTAAACAGTTCCCATTTTAGTGTTTAGAAGCACAAACTTGGGCATTTTCTTTAATTTATTTAGGGGTTTTCTTGTTTGGTAACCAAACTGTCAACTATTGAGGTCACGTGTTTTTATTCAGTTAAACATTTCGTTGACCACAATTCACAAAGTGTAAAAAAATTGTAAATGAAAGCTCGACAATAAAGACAGTCGTAATCACTCGAGTTTTTGTAGGCGCAAACCCATGACCAAGTTTTTTTTGTGCAATTTTTAAAATTTATTTAGGGATTTTCATGTTGAAGTAACCGGTCGGTACCAACCTGTCATTTTTTCGTCAAACAAAAAAATAATTGGCCCTAGTTTATGTATTTTTTTGATAAAAAGTTCCCATTTTAGTGTTTAGAAGCACAAATTTGGGCACTATCTTCAATTTATTTAGGGGTTTTCTTGTTTGGTAACCAAACTGTCAACTGTTGAGGTCACGTGTTTTTATTCAGTTAAACATTTCGTTGACTACAATTCACAAAAAGTTGTAAATAAAAGCTTGTTTTGTGTAAATTCGGCAATAAAGACAGTCGTAATCACTAGAGTTTTTGTAAGTGCAAACCCACTTGGGACGCCCATGACCAAATTATGTTTGTTGCGTCAAATGTCAAATGCGCATTTTTTAAATTCATTTAGGGATTTTCGTGTTGAATTATCCGGTCGGGTGGTACCAACCTGTCATTTTTTGGTCAAACAAAAAAATAATTGGGTATAAATTCACGTTTTAGTGTTTAGGAGTACAAATTTGGGCATTTTCATCTAGGGGTTTTCTTGTTTGGTAACCAAACTGTCAACTGTCAACTTATCTGTCATCGAGTTGTCAAACTAAAATGGCCCAAATTGGCGAACCCTTGACTCTCCACCGCGGTAACCCCCGTTTTTTTAAATTTCTTTTATTTTCTGGTCGGGTTGTAGACATTAAGCGTTCCGTTGAGCTCCTGGAGAAGCTCCAGAAAAGTGGCGAAGTCCCCGCTACGAAGCTCGCAGCGCTCCAGAAAGTCCTCCAGAGCGACTTTCTGAACGCGGTGCGTGAAGTCTACGAGCATGTCTACGAAACCGTTGACATCCAAGGGTCCCAAGACGTGCGGGCCTCCGCTACGGCGAAGGCCACAGTTGCGGCCTTCGCCGCCAGTGAGGGGCACGCCCACCCCCGCGTCGTGGAACTGCCCAAGACCGAGGAGGGTTTGGGGTTTAATGTGATGGGGGGCAAGGAGCAGAATTCGCCCATTTACATTTCTCGGATCATTCCTGGGGGTGTGGCCGATCGTCATGGGGGGTTGAAACGCGGGGATCAGTTGCTGAGTGTCAATGGAGTGGTGAGTGTTGGAGGAGGGGTGGATAAGGGGGTGATTGGGGTGGTAGTCTGTTGAAGGAGAGAATCATGAAAAGGCAGTGGAGTTGCTGAAGCAGGCTCATGGCTCGGTCAAGTTGGTTGTGAGATATACCCCCAAGGTGTTGGAAGAGATGGAGTTGAGGTTTGACAAGCAGAGGGCCAGGAGAAGACAACAGTATAATTAAAAATAGACACTGATATTACATAAAATATTATTAGATTGTGTTGCATTTAACGCACTACATGTGCACGAGTTTTTTAGGGTACTGAATCTCAACTACAAGTATTATATGTTTTCAATGTTTTTTGTTATTTATGTTACATTAAATAAATGATTAAAAATTGAAAAATTGCATTTTTTTAATAAAAAAAATAGAAAAAAGTAACAAATTTGTTGAGAATTTTAACCAGCATCAAAATTCGTCAAAAGAGCTTCTGAATTAACAATTTTCCTAAAACTTTGCATATTAATTTTACATAATTTTGATGTGTGAAGACTGAAATTTAACTTTTTTCATGACTAGTTCAAGGTTTTCAGAACTCTACGTTGTTTTGACTCAAAATGATGTGTTTTTACACTTTTGTATAAAAAAGAATTCATCGCGAGCTTAAAAGTTTCTTAAAACATTATTTTACCCAAGGACGTTATCATTTTTGTCTACTTATACTTTTACAACGACTTGAACTTTGACCTATATCTATGTGAAAAATGAAAATAGACTCGGAATCCCCAAATAATTCTGCATAGGAAGAGCTAATATTTAAACTGTTTTGACTTTTTACTTTGCCAAAAAAATTATTTTCTACAAGAGATTAAATCTTGACTAAATTTTAGCCGATATCTCAAAAACTATGCGCTGCAGGTAAAAAACAAGGACAGATTCGTAATTTTCAGACAATTTTACGTAAGAATACTTAAATTTTGAGGTACTTGTTCTTCTTACTTTCCTGAAAAAAWWTTTTTTACAAGAATTTTGATTTTGACAAACCAATCACTCAAACTTTGGCCAATATCTTAAAAACTATCACTTGTAGCGAAAAAAT